AACAGTATTTTCATTACTTTATGAAAACTTTATTTCTTGATGGTTTTCCAAGGTTTCAAAACCCTGCACTATGTATTAAAAAAGGACTTCCTCAGCCCCAAACTCCATAAAATATACATGTACTGTCATCCAGAATTTTAAACCTAAAGGACCAGCTATAACCTTCGCAGATGTACTGATATATTATGAGGTATCCTTGAACTCCAGATTTGCAGAGGACAAATCTCTAGAGTGACTTTTATGTAGTTAGAAAGTGAGGTGGCCCAGTTCCAAGATGTTGAGCACCTGTAAATCCTGGGGACTACCCTGGGATTACTACTTAGCACCTCCCATTTTCAGGCCACTAATTAGTAACCACAGATCAATTTATATTAAAAACAAGCAAACTTTATTTTCTTCCCCACACACATGCTGTTATTCTGTAATACATATAAATGTTTCACAGGGATCCATTTTATTGCACTTGTCTTCCTTTTTTATAGCAATAATACTTCCAATTGCTGCCAATTTATCGATTTATTTAGGCATGCAGATTAAATACACATTATTTTACTGATGAGAATATTAGGATTCATATAGTTACAAACCCTGTAGTAGTTAGAGTGACAACAAAGATTTTGAGAAAACTCCTTAGCAATTAAACAAGAAAGTTGCTATCTATAATGCTTTCTTCCCCCTTCGGAAGAAAGCCCATATTAAATGGAGATTATACTCGAAGGAGATACTGAAATGTGGACTGATTTCAGTCTTATCCTTTAAATGCCTGACGTTTATATCAGAAACATTCATCTTCTTGAGTAATCCATGTTTCGTGCCTAACAAGCACTACTGTGTTAGGAAAATTAAAAACTTTTTATCCCTAAATCAACTCCTTATAGAAATGAAATAGTGTGTATTTCTTTTCTGTTCAACTATTGACAAATGCTAATATTTCCTAGCAAAGATTAGAGTGATGTAAGAGACTTTCTGAAACTTCAGAAGAGAACATAGAATTTCTGAATTGTACTTGGTTAGATCATTGATGTATACATTAAAGTATCCTGCCTCCAGCAGTGTCAGAAACTTCAGAGGGCAAAGCAACATCTTAACTTTCTACTATCAGATCTATTAGTTCGTTGTGCCATTTTCTCCTGCATTTTCCCTGGTACCAATGGCAGCCTCAGTCATCCATCTGTCTACTTCTCCAACAAGCAACATTTCCATGCTTTCTCCCTGCTTACCATTTCCTATTTTAAAAATTCTTACCTAAATTTTAATTCCTAAATTTTAAAACATAGGCTATTGGTGCCTGCAAATCACTGTTATATCTGATGTGTCGTTATCTTATCCTGCATTTTACCACCATCCAGTTTTTCTATTTCATCCACCTGTTGCGGCCTTTCTGAGTGATAGGTTGTTAACTCTCTGGGGAAGGATATTGTCTTTGTTATGTGTTTGTACAGCCCCCAGCACTGATCCTTTTCTGTGATTCCTAGGTGCTACCATAATACAAATAACAGTAATAACCAATTCCACCATATGATAGTGGGGTGGTTTTCTTTCTAGCCATACCTTGTGATCGCCTTTCAATCCAGAACATGAAGACTAGAACAATCAAATATCATAAAAGCTGATTAATGGGTACATTCATTAATATTGCAGAACTAAAGGACAAATATCATCATCACTGTAGCTGAGCTCCTGATAAGTGCATGGCTACCATGGAGATAGGAATCTATATAGGAATCAGCTTGAATTGAACATGGAACCAGAAGTCAGAAACTTCAAAATTTTAATCCATGGCCCTTCATAGTAGACGACACCTTGTATATATTTTTGGCTAGAACTCAGAATTTGTTGTTCTGTGTATATATATATATATATATATATATACAAAGCACAACAAATTCTGAGTTCTAGCCAAAAATATATACAAGGTGTCGTCTACTATGTGTGTAAGCTACCATTGGCTGTCAGAGATGGCTTTTGAGACCAAATCAATGATGGGTTTTATATGATGGCTACATTGCCAGGGTTGGGAAATTGGCAGCAAGACTATGTCACCTCTGACACACCAAACCACAACCGTCTCTTGCAAATTCTGTGCAAATTGGCATTGTCCTTATTATATGGTCATTTTAAATAGTATATTCTATTTTAATAGTATATTCTAATAGTATATTCTATTACTTTCTTGAAATTATGTTGAGAAAGCATCGTATGTAGATTTTGCACTGTTTATGACGCTTTGCACCAGGTCTTCCTCTAATTTTTATTCCCATCGTAGATGAACAGCTCTTAAATTAGACCTTTTGTGGGCTATATCTTAGAAACCCTAATGTATTTTTAATCATAGATTAGGTGCTGAGAATTAAGCATGATCCTAGTAGTGTAAACTTAGTATAGTTGAACAGTTTTCCATCAGAAAATGCCAATTAATGAAAAGCAAAACTTTCCAGGGACATACCAGTTTTGAAAAAAAAATTAGTTTAAAAAAAGTTGAAACAAAAGAGTTTTGAAAATGTCCTAATCAAAATGAAATGTTTCAGGGTTTTTTTTTTTTTCAAAATTATTTTATTTTGGATTTTTATTTTAGATTATAATTTTAATATAACATTTTAAAAAGTCAAGATTTTTATCCTAATGAAAGGTTTAAATTTAATTTCAAATTATGTTTATTTTTCAAAAAATTGTTTTATGGGAAATTTCAAATGTGATGCATAAATTCAGATTGGGAATGAAATCAACATTCAAAATCAATAATTTCCTTCAAAACAGAAAGTTTGGTTCCTGCACATCTCTAATTAATTCAGTCTGTAGTTCAAATTGAATTTGGTACTGGTAACTGCTTTGCTTATTTTGTTGTATTGCAGGGTGTTGTCTTTTTTAATTGAGTGCCACCCAGAAGTGGCTGCATTATTGTACTACATAAGGGTTGCCTATACATAAAAATTGTGTTGTGTTAACTGTATTGGCATATAGTAGTACAGACTATCCTGAATCTGCACTAGGAGAGGTACAATTAAACTAGGCCCATAAAAAATAACATCCTTAAATGAAATACTTAAATTAGTACAAAAAGTATGTGTAGACTACACTTAAGGATAAAATTCATTCCTATACTCCATACAGGACCTCTTTATCCAGTATTCCTCTGCATATTCAAAATAGGCTTCATTCCTATCTCCCACTGAAAACAGTAGTAATTGAGAGCACTCAGTATTTCTTAAAAGAGGATCAGCATGAGGTTTCTGCACCAGTAAGGTTCCTTCTAAGTTTTCAGTATTGAATTTCAAAGATATTTATACATTGTGCTGGCTCTCAATTTCATTTATCATATTCACAAGCACAGAAGTTTGACAAGCCCTCTATAGGGGAAAGCATTATAAAATGTAAGATCGTTCTTATTGTTAATAGGGGAATTGGGAGTTACACTGCTAACATGCTACTATGCTAGAATAGTATGATTCTATACTTGTGTTGGACATACTTTTTGATGATTATGAAATCGAAACCTAATTGGAATGGAGTATGGAAGTTTTGCTGTCATAGTTTAAAACACGACAAAAGAATTCTTGTGAACAAGAGCTAGTCACATATGCATATACTTTAAGCACAGGTGAAAAATGGAACTGGAATGGTATGTTGACCTCCTGAATATGAAAGTCTGTCACCCAAAGAGAAATATCCCTTCCCCTAGCAAAGGAGCAAAGAATCAGCATTAAGTCATTAATGTGTGGAGGTGTGATCTCTAAGGCCCACTCAAGCCAATGGAACAATTCCTATTTATGACAACAGATTTTCGTGTGGCTGTTGTCTGGGGCATCCAGAAGCTAGAAGCATCACTTGAATTTATTAAATAGCACAAATTTTCATACACAGCTACTAATGCTCCAAAGGGCAGTTGAATTGTTAGCTTCTTGCTAGTTTCCAGGCACAGTTTTTGAGGACACTGATCACTGTTGACTAGAACTTTGACAAACAAAAGCAAGGACTCCCATTATTTCATGTTCTTTATTTAGTCAGTCATTAGTGGAGTGCGCTCTTCACCTGGAAGTACATACAAATTCTAAAGTGGATGGGAGAGCAGGGCATTTCTTGCACTTATTCAATTTTTTGTTAATTTTCAGTTATCCACCTGAACATTAATCATCAGAAACTTTTCCAGAAAACTTGGTCTCCTCCCAAAAGAGCCAATAACTGCAATTAACACTATTCCTCAGAACACAGAAAATGGGATCTCTTCTCACAGTAGTCCTATTTCCCTGCCTGATTTCATTAATAATACAGGCAGTCCCCGGGTTACATGGATCCGACTTAGGGTGAGGCAACCCCGCACTAGCTGCTTCCCCCCCAGCAGACCAGGGAGATGCGAAGCTAGCGCCCCCCCACCCCAGCAGACCAGGGAGAGGTGGAGCGGCTTTTCTCAGCAGACACTTCAGCTTGAGAATAAAGGGCTGAGGGAAGTGAGGTGTGGGAGAATAAAACTGAGCTCTGGAGAAATGTTTGGCTAGAGTTTCCCCTACAATATGTACCAGTTCCGACTTACATACAAATTCAACTTAAGAACAAACCTACAGTCCCTATCTTGTACGTAACCCGGGGACTGCCTGTACTTCATCTACCAGTACAGGAGTCATTTCAAAACTAACAATTGCACATGAACTATTTGTTTGGTTTAGTTAATACATTTGCTATTTATTGTCCATTTGGAAAGCATTTCTCTGTGCATGTAAGCATGTGTGGGTAATTATTTCTTAAGCAATCTAAAGGTTTTTCTTTAATTATTTTCTAAGTATATTAGACATTAAAAATGCCCTTTAATCTCTGTGGATAATTTTATTAAAATCACTTCCCCCTGCATTCCTTAACAAGTGGTATTTGTATTCTGATAATTATTTTAATATAATCTGTAAAACCTACAACGGGGATTTTGCCACATTATGCAAAGAGCCCCCTTAAACCACATTGAATTGGGCAGATTTACAACATTTTAAACTCACACTTCGTCCCTCTTTCAGCAAGCATCCTCTGCAGATTTAATGATCAGGAACATCCTTCTGATGCATGCTGGGAGATATGGCTGCAGGGTACAGACCACAGCAGACAGTGTATCAGATGAGGCAGAACTTCTTGTTAGGGGTGAGTATGCTGAAAGCTCAGTCTGAAGACATAATCAACATAAATTTTCATACAAAGGAATTTAAATGCATGGACATTGAGCATATCAGTGCTGTATATTATACTTAGATTTTACAATATTGATGTCATTTTGCTTGACGTTTTTGTCTTTAAAAAAAAGCTTTTTTTTTGTTGTGGTAGACCAATCTGCAAAATAGGCATGACCAAAATGACAATTGGTAAATGGACCCTCAGCACTTAAGAGAGTTAATAGCTTAAAAGTTATCTTGGATTTTTTAAAAGGTCCATTTCTGTATGAGGAAATTTTTTTTTCATTCGTAATTATAAATTTTATCTAAAATTGAAGCCATTAGCTCAGGTTCAGTGGTTTGAGAATAAGATTTTTTCAAAATAATAACTCCTCCTTTCAATGGGAAGTAACACTTATTTCAAAATAGTTATTTCAAAATAGCAGTGGTGTGGATGTTCCTGCTGCTATTTTGAAATAACTAATCCCCTGAGTTAGTTGAAGTAATTACTCCCTAATGAGGCTCTAAGTCAAGTAGTGCATCTACATTAAAAGAGCCTGCCTCGGACTTATTTCAAGGCTTCCCTGTAGTGTGGAAACACTATTTCAAAATAGTTATTTTGGGAGTTATTATTTTGAAATAATTTCCTAGTGTAGAAGTCAGGGATCAACTCTGCAAGCTTTGGCACTCCCATTGACACAAGCAAAAATTTAGAGTTCTTGATCAGCAAGGCTTTCAATTAACACAAAATGAAGCAAGAGCTTGGGTACTTCATTTGCAATATGTCTTCTATGCAGACTACAGATTATATCATACAATCATAGAAATGGTGGGCAAGAAGGGATATCAAGAAAATCATGCAATGTTCCATCTTGATCAGGATATGATGGGACTTATAGTCTCCTGTGTTCCATAAATTTGCATAAAAATGTAGGAGGCTGCACTGTAGAACTCCGTATGCCTTATTTAGGTAATAGACTTCAGGCTGGCCACACTTGTTTAGTTTGCTAAACTTTAAAAATGTAATAAATTGGGGGATATTTTATTAGAATATAGGAAACCCTACATAAAAAAATCTACGACTAGAGAAAACTTTTTTAAAAAGTAAAATCTTTTCATCTTATTACATCACTTCTGATTTTTAATCTATCATTTGCATAGGGAAAATATGATCTGGAAAGAAGAAATTGTGTTTCACAGAGTGCAAGGTTCTTTACTTTTTGGTAGAAGGAACTGTTAAATGCTTGCATGAATTCATGTTAAGGACTACAGGGCTTCTATTAACCTAACTTCCATGAATGTCATCAGTTGAAAGTTTCTAAAATTGTTCAACTTCTAGTACCTAGAATCCCACAGTGTTACTTCTAAATTATACAAATCTGACCTCTGCTTCAGAACCTTCTACGGTAAGCTAATTATCTCTCCTGCATTCATTTTATGGGGTTCATTTTATGTAGTTTATTTTAGAAAATATTTCTCAGAATAGGAGGTCTGAATTGGAGACTAATAAGGAGCATTATTTGAGGTATTAGAAGAAATTGGGATTTATGTATCTCCCATTTTGCATTGAAATTAAAACTATGACAGTTTTATAACATAGTTGAGCTTCAAATATGCCATTCCATTATCCTTGTCCCTGCAGATGGTAAATAAGAATTATGTCTGCATCAGTTTTACAACTGGTTTATATTGTGTGACTGTTTTTGTATTGATGTAAAGGTCTACTTTAATTGAATTATATAATTTGGTGAGTATAGTTGTAAATACTTATGCAAATGGTGTAGAGCAGATTCTACAGTGTCAGCATTGCTATTGCCAAATGCAGGATGATTTGTTTCTTTGTTTTTGGACTCACAATAAATATTTAAAGCAGATTTTGAGCAGTTGTCTCTAGTTCAAGATTTTTTAAAAAATAATCCTAAATATTTAAGAGAATCTAAATATTTGCTTTCTGTTAAAAAAAACTGTTGTAATTCAGTTTCTATGCCCTTCCCCAGCATTTTCTCTGCATGTCTCAGTTTACATAGGCACTCAGTGGTTTGCAACTAGATAGTCCCAGGTTCAGTGTCATTATAAGCTTCTCTTGGCGGAGCTCTTGGAGACACTGGACACTGATTCAGCAGAAGAGGTCAACAGTACAAGGTTGCTCTGAAGCTTTCCAGTTGGGCATATTGAGGAGGCTTGTAATATGTCTAGGAAATTCACTACCATTATGCAGCTGTGTCAATGAAAGCCAAAACAGTGCTGCTCTTTACTTCCACGTATACATTCCAGATAGCATAACCTTTTAGGGATGGCTCTAGTAGTCTGTTGTTAAGATGTTATATTGTGAGGCATGCCTGATCTTTTTTGACATGTCATTGCTATTTTGGCTGTCAATATGTGAGATTGTCTTCATTTACTGCACCCTCCATCTCCTCAGTAGGACATTGCATGCATAGAGTAAGTTGAATCAAAATAACTTTTGATTCAACTTCACTGTCTTTTAGATATTTGTGGCTATAAGTGGTAGATTATTTGCAAGGGGACTAAATTACGCTACTACTAATCAGATGCATTGAGTGTAAGTTAAAAGAAATTTTTTTTACAAGACTAGAGAAACAAGTGTATATTACCCTGTCCTCATCAGTTGGAACACCACAAAATCCTTGAAAATCCCTTCATGTGTAAGTCTTCAGAGACAGTCACGTACCACCCCATTCTCAGGCACATGCAGTGTCTCAGAACATTTTATTGTCTTGAAAACATGCAGTTCTTTTATATGTTTTCTGTTGTCTATGAAATACAATGTGCCATCCTCTGGCTAGCATATTCATCAGAGCACAGAATAAGCAGCTAAGGCTTTCAGTATTTTTCATCATTTATGTAGTGCTGTTAGTACATACTGCATTGTAGAGGAAGTTTGCCAAAATAAATAATTGGTTAGACAACTAAGGGTAGTTCTCTTGTGCCTGCAGAATGAATACTGCAGTGTAAATCTAAATACTTTTGCCCGTAATTGCATAGTTTGCATCTAGAGTTAGGCAATTAAAGGTGCAAGTACTCAGATTTATGTGCATCTATTTGTCAGATGCAAATAAGGAAGCTCATCTTCTCAAAACTTCCCACAATGTGGAACAATTTTAACAGGTGTGGGCTTTTTTCAAATAAAGTATAATACTGTTTGGGTTGTTAATTTAATTTAGCATGAAATGCACTTTCAACAGGAACTCTTTTTTAATAACATATTTGTCAGTAACAAAAGTGTAAACTTCTCTCATATACTCTTAAAAATGTTAAAAGTTTTCCATCAAAATCTTGGCAATAAGCAAGAATCTATCACTCCACATAATTTCAACATTTGACATTCATTGCTGAAGACTTCGATGGGTCCTTTAGAAATCTGATTAAATTTCATGTGACCTTAGTAAGTAGTATTAAGGCAACTTGCTATTTAGGCTATAATCATCTCTCCTTCTTCCAAATAACTCTCTGTTCTGTCCCTTGGAATTTATTTTCCTTTCTGTTTTATTTTCTTAAATATGGCAAAGAATGGTGGTCATTATTCATGAACATTTTATTGGCAGCGGGAGTGTTTGTCCTGTGAATTAATTTAGAATTTCAGTTTAGAATTTAAAGCATTTAAATCCCACTGTGGATTGCAATGAAAAACAGCTTAGTTGTTTCATCCTAGTGAATATTTGTCAGCAGAAATCTCTTGCACTGTTTGACATAATTGGAATATCTGTGTGCAAATGAGGCTCAGACACTGTAACCGAAGAAGACAAAACAGGAGAACTACGTACATTTCCTGACCATTTGTGGTTCTAGGTAATGCTGCTACTCCTTAACTTGTGTTGGCATCAAATACCCTCTGCAAAATGTGACCTGCAGGCTTCTCTGCCCCTGTGCATCACAAAACAACTTCTTTGAACATCTGTGACAAAGATACAGGTTACACTTTTTTGCTTCCCACATATACAATTCCTTTTTGCACCTAGATTTAATTCTTAAAAGTCTACAAAAGGAATGACTTGAGTTATTGATGACTAGTTCTAAATATTGGCAAAACTTGATTGTGAATTCTAATATACCTTTACGCCTCTGGTAAACTCATAGGGCCAAATTCTATACATATGCCTCTGACTTTCTTATTTCAAAGCTCCATGGGCTCCTTTGGGGACAAAATATTGACCACAGAGACCATTAGTGGGTTGGTACAGAAATCAGTCAGAGGAATTTCATATGTGAGATGAGTAATAAAAATACCTTCTACTCCTAGAGTTGTACGAATAGTGCAAAACAAGAATTAGAAATGGATACTCTGTTTTTGATTTTCAGCATTTTCTTACTTTCCTAAAAACAATTGTGCAAATAGGTGTTTCTCCCCAGCCGTTTTTTCAGAATAGTTGTTTGTCATGTAAACAAGGATACTGACAGAGGAAAATATGCTTGTTCCTGTTTGTCGAATTTCAATCATCTAATCAAGGAGCAGAAACTATTTTGGGTTTTTACCAATCAGTGAGTATCATACCTTATTCTTGGTAATGATCCAGGAACAGTTTTTCCTTGCCTAATGCCCTCTCTGTTACCAATCTTTATTTTATTTTACACATCTTCAGCTTCCTGTGATTTTCAACCAGCAAAGGATTGAAAAAGAAGAAATCTTTTCCACTAGGCTGGTTTTCCAGCTATAATTGGCACCACTGACTGTATTCATGCTGTCTGTACTTATTTTCACAAAGAAGAGATTACAAAAACAGAAGGCTCTAATGCAAGATAAATATGCATGTCATGTTCTGACACTAATGATGTGATCACAAATGTGGTTACCATACACTACTCACATACCAACCAGGAGGTTTACATTCTGCAGATGTCTCTGTTGATGTCCTAGCCAACGATGTGTCAGGCTCCCTCAAGAAAATGCCTGGTTGGTAAGTTAATTTGTTTCCAAAGACTGTCTTCCAAAAGGTTTGTTGTTTTTTTATATTTCTATTATGTGAAAGAAAT